TTAATGGAGCGCTATGGAGGAGGCGATTGAGCAAACTCCATTTAATCAATTATGAATCGACATTTGTGGGCCGGCAAAGCAAACTACAGACATGCAATGAGTCATATAAGAATTTCACGTGCATACGCTCACATATTAACAGTCAAGGTTGATGATAGGATAACTAACAAAGTCAAAGTGTGACTCAAGAAGAATGAATAAACTGGCCCGTCCGAAAGCTAGAATAACCTGTAGGACTTTAACAGAGAAGCCGACACTACAATCCTCATGGTCGGACTCATTGCTTCCTTAAACTGTGTTACAACGTGGTATTCAGAACCTATCGTTCTATGGATTTATTTATCGCTCCTAAGTTCACCATAGTGTTGGTATTGCTGGAATGTAAAGGTATTCTTTATGTGTGAGTGATTCCATGATATGTTACCATGAGTTCTCAGTTGTCTATGTTGAACAAACCTTCCGCACAACTCAGCAAGTCGTTTCAACATTCTGAACATAACAAATTTACTGGTGAGCGATGTTGGATTTCCAAGGGTAAATAAATCCCCAAACTGAATAATTCTGTAAGGCTTCGACATTGACAAAGTCTTCTTTGATTATACTGGACACAATCTAGCCGAAGACACTAAATCACGCATCCGCATCAGATCAATAGTAAATACTCTATACTTCGCATCCCTTACAACTACTAGCCAGCTTAGACCAAACGTCTCTCGACATATCGATAGCTTTCTAAATGTATCTTTGAACCACTTCGTTTCTGACTTCTCATTTCATCGGGTTGGTGTACTACGGTTGCAAAGATGTTACCTTTAAAAATATTCACAAACTCTTGATATCTGTGGTATCTTTAGATGTGATTTCATCAATTTAATGCATGTCTTCACTGGAACTCTTTGTGTCTGAGAAGCATTTTCTTCCTTATGATAAGACCATCTCTCCCGAGCACATTTTCTCTTCTGTCAAGCTTGCGTTTTGCGGGTTTCACTTATTCCAAGCACTGCCATGTTGTATCTTTTAACTCACGTGACTATTTGAAACATCCTCTCTGTCTACTGTATTTCCTTGACATTCCAAGTACCTATGTTAACCGCTGCTATGATTGTTATAAATATAATTGGGCTTGTTACTATTGGGAATCTTTGTTTCCATTCTGAGTAGTCATAACTCTTCTAAATGATGGCTATTCAACTCTCCGGCAGGGTATGAATGGTTAAAATGATTTTTTGGTTGTAGATCTTTTGATATAGGTTTCCACCTTTTGATGAATTCGCACACATTACAACCTTTTCCAACACTATAAGCCGATAAACCTCCAGGTGACTGGCAAGCAAGTTATACATGCTTATAGGCAATGAGTTGTATCGTCTTCACGGCAAGCATACAACGGTATTTAGGACGATGCTTCAACCTTTGAATCATCTTTACGCTCTTATAATTAAATGTAACTGTTATACAAGTTATGTGTGCTCATTCTGTTTATTATGAACTCATTTTTATACGTTTTCTCGACTTCATTTGCATTGAAATAATACTCGTATTTTTCTTGTCCACCGCAACTTTCTATGCGGTTAAATTTCTGCGTAATGTTTATATAGCTTACCGTCGATACCACACTGCTAACAAAATTAGTTATTGATTCCCGAGGTTATAATTCACACTAAGCGCTCCACAAGTCTACTTTATAACGACTATAAACCTAAAACATCGCATTGCATGAATACTTAGCACGACCAAAATCCTAACACAATTTTGATGAAATTGGACCTGGTGTGTAACGTGGACGCGATACCACTTTGGAAAATATTTTGAAGATTGCAAAGTACGTCTGAACGAATCAACTAGTATTCACTTTTATAGATTATATTTATTAAATAACCCTGCTTGGGATGCATACTGTGAACCAAGAAATATTGTAACTTGTAGATCGTGCCTGTAAAAATGTCGTATACCTGTCATTGCAGAAATACATTATTATAACATGTATGTCTCTGTCTACTTCCTTAACTTGTTCGTCATATATTAGAACTATATGAGCCAGGCCACATCTGATTTTACAGTCTAGCTTATTCGCACATCCATAATATGCACATCTTTTGTACTTGTTCTCCTACGGCTATGTATGGACGAACTGCAAAGCGTTTGTACTTAACTTTATAGTTCTCTGGATAGTATCTATCTATCTATCTATCTATCTATGTGCTACCGATAAGAAACGTCACTGCGATTCGGAAACTTAAAAATAAAGTTTTCATGAACGAAAGTTTACTCGGATACTAAAACTGTGTGCAATAAATTTAAACAGCAGTGTGAAATAGTGAGTCAACATTTTTTGTAGATTCATAGTTGTAAGCACGCTAATGGTCTGACTAGTGACATAAAGGATATTGAGGACAACGATTTACTCCTTCAGGAAAATTTGAAGTAAACATAAAGCCTTTTTGGCAGAAATACCGTTCTCTGACCATTACCCCTTCTACGTAACTTCCCTGCTCCTAGAAATAGTCTTAAGTTATGAAACAGTTTGCAGCATTCAGTTGTTATATCTGGAGATCAGATTCCTGACATATGGTGTACAACTCGCGTACTCAAACACTGTTACGCTCGAAGTCACAAATGAGGAGACGGAACTCAGGTGAAAAGAATGCTATTCCAAAGTGTCAAATATGGTACAAAATTCTCAGGTATTTATAGGTTTGGCAGGTTTGTGTTGATGACGTTGTTCAGAATAACGATAAAAGCTCTAAAACCAGACCATCCAGCTCAGCGAATAGAACTCCATCAACAAAAGCAATTATGTGCCCCTTATCATGTTCATCACTTATCTTTAGATTATTATTGTCTGACAAAAAATATTGACCCACGCTTTATAAAACCGAGTTGACAACCAGCCTTTTCCGCTTCGCTTTTCTCTTTCTATTTTAAATTTCAGTCTGGATAAACGAATCACTAAAATAAATCCATCCAAGGCAATCCGTATTCGGCCTATGAGAACCGCAGTCCAACGAACAGGTTTGACTTGGTAATATTCAGAGTTGAGTGGAATATATTTTATGGCGAGTAGAAGTATTCCAGTTAATGTACCAACTAAGAATTCCCGAAACAGTGTAATTTAGGAAAAGTAAAACTAGGTGAGCACAAATGAACGTACAGCACTTGGAATTAGTGATAAGCGGGCAATAAAAGTACAAAGAAATAGTTAGTTCATACAAACACTGCAACTGCCACAGCTCAAATGGGAATCCAAACATCCATCATTTACTATGTCTTCTTCTTAAGTTATATGTACGTCTATGAGACTGTGTATTGGATATAGACTATGTATTATTTATAATGTACTCATTAGTAATGGAATTAACAACTGAAATCGGAACAAACTAACCCTTATCCTGAAATTGTATTTGGTCGGCGTGTCGGTTGTGTGTATTAAAATCGATAATATTTATAATTCGAACCATAAGATTTCCAACACCACCCTTCCCCTGAAATAATGTGGGGTGCTTATGTTTCAAAGTTATGACCAAGTTGACGTTTCTAGTTTGCATTATCTTCTCATATCTCACACTTCGATTAATATAAGTGAGGATTTGAGGATATACACTGACATAAAATTTAAGACATTCCATCATGTGACTTTGACTTGCCTATAAAATATGATTCATATTCCTTTTGCTTTTCCCGTCAGACTCTGTCTAACCTAGAATATACTTAATAGTATCAGAACTAACGACCGAAACTGGGACAGACTCATCTGATTCCTTATGACATATTCACTTGTTGTAACTGGCTCGCATGTCAACCACAGGTTTATTTACCTGTTTTGGCAGACCCTCCATAGATTTTAAAAAAAGAGTTCTTTTACAGGGATTATTATGTCTGGGCAATTTCACCATTGTTCCTTCTGCGTGCGGTCTAGTTATTCTGTACTGATGAACTTTGTCTCCTCTCTTCTCCGAGTCCCTTAATGTCGAAGCAGTAGCAGAATTGATGTTTGTTTTCAAGGCTTTGAAGTTTCTTGCTTAAATATGAGAATGAGGGAACTTTTAAGTCATGCGTAAATTTTTGCACTTCGGTCCCGCAGTTTGCAAGTTATCAGGCATTTCATTAGAACCATTTTCAGTGATCAATAAGGAGAGCTGACCCTGTAGTATTCTTAAATTTCATAGACCCAGGATAAGTATTCCACAATCAGTGATGATAAATCCACAATTAGGAATTGAGGATTCATCATCTCTGCTTGAAATATTACAACATTCAGCAATAGAATGTTTATGACCAGTGATACTCGGGATGGAAACTTTGGTAGGCATAATTATAGCATCAGGACTTAATGGCTTCAACTTTCCAACCAAAATTATGAACTTAATGCTGCCACTGCCGACAACGAAATCGTGAAAAGCACCATTGGTCTGACATATGATCGTCTTCGAATATGAAGTGAATTAAAGGGTGATGTAAATTAGGATAACATATGACCATTAGAAGCACCCGAATTATTAGGATCTGAATAACAATATTTGGTTTTACCTGTGGTCAAGTGCACAGTAGTTTTACAGACTAACTCGATGTGTCCAATTTTCACCACACTTATGGTATTTAGCATTACGAAATGCACGTGAATCATGAGTTCATCATCAATGAAGTTGAATGAGAAGTTTCTGCTAAAATGTTAAAGGTTTTGCATGGATTTATCAGTGAAAGCGAAACTCTTTTTTTATGGTATTTAAAAGCATAAGTTGGTGATCCTATTCTTGATCAATTTTTTCCATGACTGTCTTACAATTTAATCATATATCTTTATTTAAAAATGTACGATTTACACTGTTTCCAAGTCACCCCTTCACATATAGTTTTTTTTCTAGTTTTACCTTCCACAGTATTCATGTGGCGAGATAAACCCTTTACCAGACTAGTTCTATATATTTGCTGACGCAACAGGAACAAAAGATCTAATCAAATGATAATGAAATTAAGTAAATTTTAAGAACACTGAGAAGTAACCGCTCTTTTGAGCTCTTAATCATCATCTGGGTAGATAATAAAACAATACAACCTTATTCAAAACAATTTTGTTGTCAGAGTTTTATTTTAAAAGGATTTATTTGTGAAACAAATTTCATTATTCCATGTAAATTTTAATAATATATTCGTTTATTGCCTTATGGATTAAGAAATGAATTCATTAATGTAAACTGATTAAAACGATCTGTTTTCCTGTCCATAGGATGATTACATAGTTTGAAAAGAATAAAGTTAATGTGCATTAAGCAAATAAAGCTATTTTAGATTAAACAATTTTCTATATAAGTAACATGTTCGTTTAGAGAAACATTTTAACCATTATATGGATAATTATGCAATATGCAATGATTTCATTGTTATATATGGAAATATATTTAGTGAATATATATTTTGATGATAAACAAGTATTTCCTACGTAAAAAATTGATATGAGGAAATAGTATCATAAAAGAAAAATAATGGTAACCAACGTTTAATGAACAGAAGAACTTCATGTTACATTCATTTTAACTGTGATACTTTCTTTCACCTTTACACTGTTAAAAGAATGATTGGTTCTGTTTGTTAATGATTATAACGAGGTATGAATGATAATAATAATAATTATTATAAATGTGTTATACGTACTTTCATCGCATTTTAGCAAAGATAGCTTTGTTTTAATACACCATAACTTCACATAACAAAGCTGCAAACTCTTGTGACCACCTTCCACGAACTCCACGAGCTTCGACATATACATAACGACCAATTAATGGTTGTCTGCAAGGTATATGTAAACGTGGACTGAATATAGCATCATTAATTCTAGTTACAAAACCACATAGACTAGAACTTGATCTAGATAATGTTTTAGTATCGTGGTGACGTGGCTCCGATTCGACATAGATAGATAATCTTTCTAAATTTTCCGAATTGAATTTCGTTTTCTCTTCACTGCCAAATAGAGAAGATAGAAGATATCTTCCATCTAAAAATATAAAAGAATATTTTTCATGGCAGAACTTCTAAATACGAAATGACTAAAAATGATTTTACAAATATGATGTTTGTAAATCTATTTTCCTAAAGATTTTTTTCACTTATGAAGTCAATGTTTTTGTGCACACTGGCGTACGTTGATGAGCTAGCTTATTGTTCTAAAGTTATTATCCTATAAATACCGCCTAAAGTTCCTGGAATCAAATGCTGATGAAAACTACCTCATAAAACAAACTGGAAAGTGTTTTTTTACGGTGTTCATAGTTCAATAATCATATTCAAGATAATATGTAGAATAATGAAATGGAGATGATAATTAAGAGAATTCAAAACACTAATAAACTTGACATGGTATATCTGAGAAGAAATATAATATAGATATGTATATGTCCCCATCAAAAATGAACAAATGGATGTAAACTGAGCACCCAATTTTTTATGAATTTACTTCTCTTGAATAATTGATCATCTCTAAATATAACTTAGATTGTTTTGGTCAGTTAGTGGGATAGTCAACTTGCTTGTAATAAGAAGATATCATTTATTTTGAAGCTGACATACCTCAATTAAATAATACTGAATACTGAGTTTTATAATTAGTTTATTTTTTTATCTGTTCTTGAGTCAAATAAATTACATTATTCATGATAGAGGTGTGTAAATGCAATGTCGTAGTACAGTCATAAACTATAGGAAAAGTCATTTGATTTTGAGAGGAAACTGTAGATTTGTAATTTGATATCAGCAAATCATGCAAGTGTTAAACTATAACTTTATCGAACCCTTTGAATGCAGTGAACAAGGGATATTTGGTGAAACGACTGTCCTTAATAATTCACATCTCAGATTTTACGGTGAAAATACAAAAGGTTTAGATCAGTTAGTTGTTGCTTTGCACTTAAATAGATTTTTTCAAACAAGAAAATGTACATAGTAATTTGATTACAAAAGGTTTATAGAATCATGAAAGCAAACGAACACATGTATGAGTTTCCGTAAGCCTTAGAGTATAAAAAGCATGTTGTTCTAAAGTATTCAATCATAATTCCTAGGATAAGAACCACAGGAAGACAGTAGGGACAGAAGAAATGTTAATTGGTGTTGAGTGTAATAATATATATTGATAATATATTCCTACTAAATTGAAAAAAAGAGTAGAAGGCATAAACATGAAGATCAATTATGATGATAGCAAAATAGTGTTAAAGCATTCACCTTAACTAAATGAACTAGCCTCACTTTTATTTTAGGTGAACACGATCGACTGATAAACTGAATTTATTCAAGTTGGCCCCTGCAGTGTTGAGCGTACATAATAAATCGAAAAATGGACCTTTCGGTGAATTATTATGGACTAAAAATAGTTCTTATATTTTATTATAATATTTGTTATATGCTGGCTAAGAAAGTATTATATTGTTTATATAACCATTTACAGTTACTTTCACTGGTTATTAGGGATAATACGTTGTGAGTACTGCCTATGTGTACTGAATTAAAAATAGGTATAGTTCGTGTCCGACACATGTTTTCGTACATAATCTCATTTTGTGCTAAACCAAATTACACTGAACTTTCATTTCAGCTGTATCATTATTAGGATTGAGTGTTAATCATCCTTTGTTGGCATGTTAACTCATTGTGTTTATTTGCACGTTTCGGGCTATCTGAACTCAGTAGGTCAGTGAATAACGAATAAGAAAAAGGTAATGAAATTAGGTTATACTCACTTGATTGACTTAGGAATAATATATATTTAGCAGTTAAATCGGTAAGCATACGAACTAGTAACTTAATCAAAATGTATATTTGAACAAAGAAATTAACAATAAAACTATTCATTATTCATAATTTTAACATACGTGACTCAACAGGATTAAACACTAACCTCTACCATGACCTGCTGTATAAATAACAACTCCTTTTACTTCAATATGCTCCCTGAGGTCTACATACCATGAAGGTAATTCAACAAACGGCCAACGATATTCAAGTATTGTGCATGGATGAGCCGACTTTTGTGTCACGGAAGTTGTGTGTTGAACATTCTGTATAGTTTTTTTATTTAAACTGTCATTCGTAAGTTGTTTATTATCTGGAGCATCGTTCATTAAACGTTCTGATGACCTCGTTGATAAGGTCGAATTTTTTAGAAGAATTTCTTCACCTGTCCAACCATCAACAGCTAACAGTGCCATTCCATCACTGCTTTCACCCATGAATTGTTCATTGATCATACCATTAACTGGTGACCATAGAGGTATGTTACTAAATTTGAATGCGTTTGAATTAACGGTGTTATCTCTTATCCTATGATGAGCCAACATTGGCGGACGTTGATTTTCAGTATATTGAAAATGTGATGGATTTTCAGAATTCCTCGGTTCACTAGTGAAACCATGTGAACGTGATGCTTTATCAGAATCTTGAAGATTTCTTTTACGATGATTTGAAGATTCTGGTGTTAACCAAGCATTTTTCTTGTAAGCAAGATTAGGGACTAGATAAATGAAATCGAATAGTGAGAAAATTTGCAGTAACTATCGATCATTCAAATATAAATACCACAAGTGGACAAAGCATATATGCTACAAATTTTTACGAGTCAAAATATTAAAAAGAGCTAATAATTAATACAAACACTTTGTTAATACTTCTCTAAGTCCCTAACGAGTTGCGAAATGAAGATCACTTTTCATAATGAAGTCAACTTCGACAAACTTCTAATGTAAATGAACAGCTTCGACTTTGATCAGTTTATTTACCAGGTCCATAAATTCTTCGGTTGATCATTTATGAAGTCACAGATTTATAAATACTCAAGCATTACAAAATGGGTTTTCCCCAAAGTAAAGTCTGTGCCTTAAGTAAAGTTCTATGGCATTTTAATCTTAGTTTGCTGGAGACACTTATATTTCTATAGATAATCTACAACTGTTGTGTTAGAAATCAATCATCAAAATCACTTCCAATGTGTATAGGCTAGACTGCTTAAAATGTCATGATCTTTGAGAATTGTTTCCCAAGCCATTCTTACATGACAACAAGATATCCAGTGTTCAGCGAAGTGGACTTTGTAAAAGAGAACATTTCGCAATTTATTCCAAAACAACTTGCAATATTTTTAATTACATGATAGTTTACAGCTGGATAGGTCATAAATATACCATCCGGTCGTACTTTTCACAAAGTGACTTTATTTGGATTTTAGTTACTTTATTGTTTTTTGTGAACCTCTTGGCACTTTCAGGTTTTGACGTTCCTTCTAATCTTTCCCCACTGTACATATATTGATGGATTACACATGTTTCGTTGATCATATCTTAGCTCTCTCTTCCTCTTTCCATCATTATGTATACAGATAATTACTTATGTTTAGGGTACCTTTCATCCAGTTAGATACCTGTTTTTATATTAATATCATGCTACCTAATACATTTTCAGCTGTTAATTTCTTTCTCAATCATTCATAAGCACTTGGCATTAAAAGTCATTTTGTTATTTAGTAATTCCACTTACGTGAATACTTAAATTTGTTTATTTATTATTCGCAATTGGACCTTCTTAACATTTCTAACAGTGACTTTTAGTTCTCTAACATTTATTAAAAAATTATTAAGTAGTAGTTTCCTTTTTTACGTTCCTTGTTCCCTTTTCTATGGTTGCCTTCTATTATAGTTGTGATTCAACTGCAGTATACTTATATTTTACCGTATGTTTCATAAGTGATCTATTCAAGAAAAATTTAGAAAGCAGTTTTATTACAATTCTATATTATCGCGATAAACGCCTTAAATATTTCGCGAATTGAAGTTTGTAAATAAAATGTATGTATTCTCATAAATACTGGGACTAAGATGAACCTCATTTGTTCGACTTCAACATTTCACGCGCCATGCAATCGGAGGCTTCGAATGGATCAGTATGTTCATTAGTATAACGTGTAAATTCTGCTTTCGTAATTTACGGAATAAATTATACTGTAAGACGTCATTCAGTCATTCATTAAATTATTCAAACACTGAGAAGCATCCTTTGTTGTACAGAAAGTAAGAGAATTGGAAGCCTAAAAGTTTGGAATGCACAACTATAAACCACTTGTATAAACGGTATTGTTAAATATTATTTAGATAGGAAAGACTAAAATACAACAAATGTGTATTGAATTTAATCTCATTAAAATAATTTAAATCTAATGCAACTTACCACAAGAACTTTCATTATTAATTCTAAAAAATCCAGCACTACAAGAACCTTTTTGTTTACATCCTAATAGACCAACACGCATAGCAATACGACTTCTCCATATGACTGGATGTATACGTACATAACGTGCAATAAATGGTGTAGCCAAATAATGAATACGTTCAGTTATTTGTTCATTATTTCCTTCAAATATCTTCAAAAACAATCATGTATGTTGTTTTGTTTTAATCCATTGCATAGTTTGATCATGTTGTAAAGATTAACAAAATAAACAAAAATTGACAAAAAAAAATTATCAATGATTTTCAACATAGTTAACCTTTTTCTTTTTTGTTATAAACATGCAAAATTATAAAATAAACAAAAATTTTTTCTATGGAAACTGAAATTCTTGTTTAGTGATATACAAGAAAGCAGAACCAATTGAACAGAAATTATTCAACAAACAAAAAAAAGGAAAAAGGCATACACATTAAAATAAATACGAATGCGCGCAAAAATGTACTTCAAATTAAAATAAAAGAACGTATAACTGAATCCCAGAACATTCGTTTTGTTTTCATTTGAAATCTACATGCTAATTATTCTATATATATATAAGTTTATAATAATGATAATTATGTGTAAATATCGACTCCGTAGTTTATTATCATTTGCTTACTATCATACGACATAATTAAATGATAAATAATTATAAAATATAATCAGGTCATGTTATTCTGTTATAATTGTTGCATTAGCTTTATTCGAATTGGTTAACGGAACCAATTGAATGAAATATCTTCTTGATGGGTTATCCATTTCATATTCATATATATTCTTGTACTATTTGAGTATAATAGAGAATATTTTGAAACCATTACTTATTCAAATTTTACTAGTTTAAACTAGCAGATTTTTTTCCGTGTGTTATTTTTCAAACAAAACAACTGAATATGTAACATTTAGTAGTTTATCGGTTTTTCAAATTTAAGAGTTTAGCTACTCAGTCTGAAATGGCATGTGTTCTTCCTATGGACATGTAACTGACTACTCTCAAATAAGAGGAAAGGTACGGAATGGATTAAACAAAATTCTACCAAATCAAAGAGTACAAATTAACCGGATGTTTCTTAAGATGTATCTATCCACAGTAATGATTATCAGTACCCAATATATTTAGTGCACTTGATATTTTTCCAAGTAAATCAATTACCTATATCCGTAATAATGTCTCATTTAAGCTGCAGAATTCTCATACAGATAACATACAAATCAACGGATTAATTATATAAATGTTACATTGAAGCCAAACACGAGTGTTAGATTAGAAGACCTAAAGTTCGACTACAATTCATCAAAAAGGACATTTGGAATTCAGTTGATTATTGTAGGAAATAAAACTTTATTCGAACAATAGTAATTAGTTTATTTACAGTTACTTGACAGTTTATGCATAATTTCAATTCAGTCTTATTTGCAGTTTCTTTACGGTATCAAGTGATAACCCTTTTTAAATTATACAAACTGAACAATCATTAGACTATTGTGGCTACAGATTTATTTTTAGAGTTGACTATCGATTACGAAATCACTACTCACCAAAAGACAATGCTCATGTTAACAATATTGATAATAGAGTTATGCATTGAAATAAGCCTTAGATAATACAGCGGAAAATTGAAAATCCAAGTAATAATGTCAATCATAAACTTAGAAGGTTTTGGATAATAAAACAAGATGAGTGTTGCATAGCGAAAAATTTGAACGGTTATATACATAAACCAATTATTCATATGACTTAATTTATTGTTTCAGAGTAAAAAGTTTCAGATAAATTCTTACGCTTTATAACATGACAAGTTTTCGGATACCAGTTAATTGAACAATAGGAAGTGATTAAACATTTAAAATATCAGTTTGCAGTGTTAAGTTTTTTTCAAATTTTATTTATTGATGACTTTTATTTATTCTTAAATAACAAAGTTTATTCCTCATAACAGCCAATGTATTTGTGAATGCAATAAAGAAGAATCTAGTGTAATAAATAGACCTATTTGATTAACTAATTAAATGAAGCGTTTAATTGATAACGTGACCTGAATTGATGTAAACGTTTTATGTGTCAACAAATGTTTACTATCACATATGATATTGATAAATCAATGTTAGACGAATTACTTGTTTTATTTTTTGTACCGATTCAGGATTTAAACTGTTATGCACTGAAGTTCTTTATAACCCCAATTTATGTAATATAGTGATTATTACATCAGGCAAACATAAGAGTATTGATTTTGACTTAATTTGAATTACACCAACACTGAGCTTTTCTTTATTTGAACAATAATAAAAAAATCCATTTGCCATTAGATCAGACATCCCTCAGCAATTTACAATAAAGTGTATATCTATCAACATAATTGATAAGTCTAATTAAACTAGTCTAGACATTTATACTGGCTAATTAAAAATTTTCTACAATAAATTTCACCTAACATAATTCCAATTAAGTCTTTGTAAATTTAAATAAAAATATTGAATCCTCTTATTCATACATTCTACAAGAAATAATTGACTGTAACAGTTACATTCACATGTTCTAAACATTCGTTATTTTTTATATTTGAAATCATATGGTAGTTATGGTCAGAATAAGCTACAATCGTTTTCCATATCAACTTGTCAATTTTCAAACAAACTTGATAGTGAATTTTTATTAATCCTATCATTTTCTAAAATTAAATGACTTCAAGGGATATTTCCTTGGGTTCTAGTGGGAAGCAGTGACCATTGGAGTTCAACCAAGTCTGTTGTAGAGATATCAACTCACTGAAGACATTGGTGAGCGGTTGCTCAAAAACATCGTGGATTGGTTGAAGTTAGACATTAACACCGTTGGATGCCAGTTCCGTAGTCTATCGGTTAAGTGCTCGCGCACGAGACTGGGTTCGAATCTTGCGAATGCGGGATCGTGGATAGGCACTGCTGAGGAGATCCATAATAGAACGAAACGGCCGTCCAGTGCTTCCAGGTTTTCCACGGTGGTCTAGCTTCAATCGACTCATGATTTCAACTATGAAAATACTGAAATCTCCAAAAACGCCTTTCTGATCTAAAGTAAAATGATCGAAATAATAATAAAGGTTCAATATCATTATAAGCAAAAATGGATAGTGGCTAGCAGTGGAATCCAGGACGTGCATTTCGTCCTATTCGGGACTCGTCAGCTGGATGTACCTGCATCTCAGAGTTGATGTTCACTCCGGGACTCGAACCCAGTACTTTTCGCTTCAAACGCCATCGCGTTATCCACTCGGCCACTGAGTCCTGATAGCCACTTGCTTGTGTAATGGGGTGAAGTTTAAATTCATTTAGTATTGTTTGTTTGAATCTTCCCATCGATGTGTTAGGACTGCAACTGGTCAGTCTCCAATTGGCATATGTGCATACTGTGCGTATTGCCTCGATATAGCCTTGATTCACAAGCATGATAAGCAAAGATGGATAGAGAATGACCAGTTGCAGTCCTAACACATCGATGAGAAGATTCAAACAAACAATACTAAGTGAGTTCAATATCATTGTTACATTAGTGAATCGTATTACTTAAAAAATAGTTTTACGTTAATTAGTTCAAAAAGAAAAGTGGTTGCTACATGATTTCATAGAAAACCAACAAATAAACTTAATTTCTTCATCAATAACACTAATTTCTGTCGTTTCCATGCATTAAATAGATTAACTTTTCAAAGTTTTGTTTATATTTTGAATATCAAGGTTAATGGAAATAAACTAAACTGTAAACGAAATCGTTCTGTATGAATAGTTAGAGAATTTACCCTACCGAATTCAGTATTATTTGTATACATACTTTTTCAGTGAAATCAGTCGGGTAAACAACATTTAATTTATTTCATTATCTTACACTACCTGTTTCCTAACTGATTTTAAACTAACCTAACTAATTATAAATACCCATTAGAAACTCATAGTTCAATGTTTTATAACATGTTTTAACTGTAAACTAAGCATATACAATTTCAATAAAACAGAAATTGTAAGTAGTATGCATCTGATGGAACTAAAAAAGTTGAACGTAAATATTCATTAAACCATGCATTATAACTGAAAAATAGAATTGAACTAAATACAAAATGAAGTGATTATGTTTAAAACAGATATATACTATTATAATTAGTTGAATGTGACTGAATATATAATTTTACTTTATCAGATTTTATTTTATCATCCGATTCTTTCATTTTTTGACTCCATTCAAATGACCACACAGTAGACTTAAAACAAAAAACAACCAATAGCAATTTTACATTCAGTGTTCAATAACCAAAATAATTAAAAAAACGGTAACAAGCAAGAAAATAAATAAATAAAATAAAATTACCAAAACAAAACCCAAAATAATAAAAGTTTTTATGAGGGGGTGGGGGCGATGAAGGACAGAGTGAAGTAAAAACCATAAAATCATAAATAAAGATTTTATATAATACGATGAAATGTTGATAGTAATTGTAAACATATTGGTGATGTTGTTTAAAATTCATGCGATAAAATAAAACACAAGGAAAAAAGAAAATAATTTAAATTAGTTAGTATTATATTCCAATATTCATTTGATTAGTTGATTTCCTTCTTTTTGTAAAATATAATCTGAATTTCTGACTTAATTCTTTGATGTATTAAAAAAGTTGAGTACCTCGAAAAAGGGATAGACCGAAATTATAGACTTCTTCAGAAAAAGTTTACAATATTATCTAATATGAATAAATCTCATGTATCTGATGAATAAGTTTTCACTTAAATATAACGTTAATGTCCGTGGATAAAAAGTTAGATCTGTCAGTGTACTAGCCATAACATGTGATTCTCTTTCGGTGAACTTAAACATGTAACAATACTGGGTAATAGGGATATAATCATCATATGATATGCAAAAGTATGCATAATTTAATAGCAAATTCATGAAGCAGGGTTTCATTTTCTGCGGTAGTTCTATAGAATTGAAATAATATTTAATTTCTTTGATAATAATCTCCAAAACACTGAAGAGTAATACATGATCAGGACAGAGACGTGAAATAATAAAGTTATTGTCGGTCACTACATATGATTCAAACTTGTTTAGAAGCAACGTCAACAAACTGTAATTTAGTTGATTTACCGACAAGCTTTAGGTGTCATTAAAATAAATAAACGGAACAAAACATTAATCTTATTTTCAACGTTCAGTTTAAAATTGTCGAAAATGTCAATCTATCCAACTTGTGTAAAAATATAAAAGTTAGACAACCACTGATATTTCCTGCTTATAGGTTGAGTAGAAACTGTAAGGAAGAATGAATGAATATATATCATCAAGTAACATATGATTACTATGGTAAATAAAAGAAGAACTAGGTGATATACTTGTCAGGTTACTGTATTTATTTCTTTTAACTGATTCTAGATCATGTTGTCAATAATGTTTTATTGAGTTGATAAAAACAATTTGAATTATTCTCTGAATGTTCATATTGACAGTTCTTATACGGAATATTAAATGTATATGCGTTGTTTATATGGTAAAAATACATTCTTGAAAGATTTTTCATTTCGGCAGTAAATAAGATAATAGTTACTACTTTGCTGTAAACCTAAAAACTTATTTGTGACGTTTCTGGTGTCAAAAATCGAATTCGAAAAATGCATTATGCTTATACTCAAGTATACTGTTTCAGATAATTTCACCAGTTAGATGTAAAAAAAATAAGAAGAGATTCATCTTTTAATTAATAGTTAAGTTTATTGAACTTCAATTTTCGCATTATTCGTTAATTAAATGTTCTGCAACTTAAAGTATACATTTTTATGGTAACCAGTTGTTATATCCTAGCGAAGACATAAGTACGGGTAATTTCCCGGATCTATTAATGGACGATTATTGTATACATATTTTTATTGTTTAACTATTGAGTACTTAGATTATGTATATTTATATTTATCTTTTTATAAGCTTCATTTTGACTTATAAATTATTATTATACGACTTACTGTCCCTAAATTATATGCAGTTTTTGATTACTGTATCCCACGTTCATAGCTACATTTGGCTTGATTCTGTGCAAATATTATTTCCTATTTTATGGTGTGATGCGGTCTGTCTGTCTGTCTATTATGCAAACCGAGTATACCTGAAATGAGTCATTCGCATAGCAGAAGCTGTAATTAGTGTTCTGGACGCAATTGGAAGGGCTAGGCGAACAATGGACCAAAAAGGACACTAGACTGCTAATACCGGTTGAACGTCATTGATTTGGAACAGTGTTAAAATTAGAAAAGTCGTATTTCGACTGGTGGATAATTCACATGATAAAATGCGGGACATTAAATCATAACGAATTGGTAATGGCCTTCTTTTATGAAGTCATAACACCAGTATTTTAGTATACAAACATGTGTTGATCAGTAATGCTAATTTAGTCTAGACGATGCATAATTAAACTGTAATTGATGTTATATAACTCGTTGGGCTGAAGTAAGTGAATTATTTGAAACTAAAATATCAATAAACTGGAATCTGGTGTTTATACTTATGGGCTAAAGTTGTAAGTCCACGCTTTCAGTAATAGTTCAAAAGAAAACTTGTTGATGTAGATAATTGAAGTGTAAGTATAGTCCGTACAGTTACAATTTGATTATTTACTTATTAAACCACGGAGGAGGGCAACAAATTTTTCTTATGTTGATTACTGAAAACATTAGCAAACAATCGCAAACCTATCAGTACGTATGTAGATTTAGTTAAAAGATCTTTAATACTATTTGTGTGAGGTGAAAATATTTTAATGGAGAAACATGGTAATTTTATCGCATAATCAGTTGTAGCTCCGACTGTAACTCTTCAAGGACTGCTGCCAGTCTCAAGAAGAGATAAAGGAGGAGGGTCGGGCGTGGAGCCAGAAACCATATCTCGTAGAAAACATCCTTGCTAAAAAACGTCAACCAGAACTAACAAATTAAACCATTTACACTCTGTCCTCCGAGTTGAAGGATCTTCATTCAGAAAAACTATGATATATCATGGTGAAAGTCAAGATTTTTCGGAAGTCACGAGGATGATTCCCTTTCTAACAAGCAGAGCAACAATTAATATAGGTACATGGAACTTCCGGACAATATGGTAGACCGAGAGGACCAGTCGAATAGCAACAGAAATGAGAAGATACAACTTGGCAGTACTTGGAACCCATTGGAGCTAAGCTGGACTTCAAAGGCTAGATACGAGAGAGATGTTGTTGTACTCTGGTCACGCGAAAGAAAATGTTCATCACAATCAGCGAGTTGATCTGATGCTGTCCAAAGATGCAAGTGAAGCACCTATAGGATAAGAATCTCATGGACCCAGGATCATTAAAACATCATTCAAAACGAAGAGGGAGTGGATGAATGTTATCCAGTGTTATGCACCATCATGATAGCAATGACGACAAAAAAGATCAGTTCTATGATAGGCTGCAATCAATCATAGCATAATACTCAGGAAAGAACCTGGCCATCCTGATGGGAGACCAAAACGCCAAATTCGGCGTGGATAACATTGGATATAAAGAAATCATAGGACGACATAAGTTAGGAGAAAGGAGTGAAACTAGGGAGATATTTACAAATATATATACGTTCAACAAATTAGTTGTAGGTGGCACAATATTTCCACACAAGCACATACACAAAGCTACATGGATCTCACCGAACCACACCATAGAGAACCAGATAGATCATATTTGTATCAACAAAAAATTCCGAAAGACAATGGAAGATGTCAGAACCAGGAGAGGAGCTGAGATAGCTTCAGATCACCACCTAGTTGTAGCCAAGATGAGACTGAAGCTGAAGAAACGCTGGACAACAGGAGGAACAGCATTACAAAGGTTCAATTCAGTCTTCCTTCTAAATACTAACAAACTCAACGAATTCAAGATAACTTTCAACAACAGGTTTCAAGCCTTACAATATCTACTGAAAGAAGAAGAAACTACTATGGAGGACAACTGGAGAGGGATCAAATAAGCATTAACTTCAATGTGTCAGGAGGTTTTGGGCCACAAACAACATCTTCGTAAGGGATTGATCTCTATCGAATCTCTGGACAAAATTCAAGAAAGGAGGACCAAGAAGACAGCAATTAACAACGGCCGAACAAGAATAGAGAAAGTCAAGGCATAAGCTGAATACACCGAAGCGAACAAGCAAGTGGAGAGGAACGTTAGAGTCAACAAGCAGAAATATGTTGAAGAGCTAGCAATGACAGCGTAAAAGGCTTCAGAGGTAATAAATATTAAACAACAATATGACACTACTAAGAAACTGGCAGGTAAATATAGTAAACCAGAGAGACCAGTCAAGGACAAAAAAGGTAAGCTAATCATTGCTATTCAAGAAGAGGGTAAAATATGGACGGAACGCTTTGAGGAACTCTTCAATATACTAACTCCATGGAATCCACCGGATATCGAAGCAGCACCTACAGGGCTTTCTATAGATGTCACTCCATCAACAATCTAACAAATCAGGGTAGTCATCGGACAAATTAATAGTGAGGAGGAAGTAGAACATGACAATTCACCGGCTGAAGCACTGAAGTCAGACATTGAAGTAACTGCAAATATGCTTCACCTTCTATTGAGGGGGATTTTGTAGGAGGAACAAGTGCGGACAGGCTGGAAAGAGGGATACCTCATCGATATACCAAAGAAAGGAGATCTCAACAAGTGTGAGAACTACTGAGGCATCACACTGCTATCGGTACCAAGAAAAACGTTCAACAAATTGTTGCCAAATCAGATGATAGATTCAGTAGACACCCAACTTCGAGATGAACAGGTTGGATTTCCTAGGGACCGGTCGTGCACAAATCAAATAATGACACTACGAATCAATGTTGAGCAATCAAGTGAATGGAACTCGTCACTATGTACCAACTCTCTTAACTATGATAAAGCATTCGACATTGTGGATAGGACAACATTATAGAAACTTATGCGACACTGTTATGCGAATAGCTGAGAAAATTGTCAACATCATCCAAAATTCATACGACTGACTAGACTGCGAAGTCGTGAATGGAGGATAGCTGATATACAAGGCTGCTTACTCTCACTCTTTCTCTTTCTTCTAGTGGCTGACTGGATTATGAAGACCCGAACATCTCAGATTCATATTGAGGTTTGTGTAGTAAGGACAAAAGGCCTACGGCTTATGTAATTATTTCTGTTGTATGCTTCTGTGAGTGTCTAGTCTTCTCTTAAATGAGTCAATTGAAGTTGAGGACACCACAGCTTCGGGCAACAAGTTCCAGGAATTGATGACTAGGTGTGAAAACCTGTATGCCACAGGTATTTTGTTCGTTCTTGGCTTTTCTACTGTCCTGGTATGTCCTTTGAGATGTCCAGATCCAGCAGGAAACAAAAGAGAGGATGTATTAGGTTAAAAATCACTTCTTATTATCGTATACATCAAAATCAAACCACCTCTTACTCTTCAATAGGACAGACTAGAGGTGTCTAGCTTTTCAAATCGTTCTTTATATGACAAACGCAGGAGTTCTGGAATTGCAACGGTAGCGGCCCTTGATGCTTTTTCCAGGACATCCGGGTCACTGTTATTTCTAGCCACATTTTTACATCACCAGCGCATAGTAACATTGGGGACTCAACTATACCTGGGAGAACATTTACATACAGCATAAAAAGAAAAGGATCTAGGACAGGACTTAGAGGTATTCCACTGAGTACTGGTCTCCAGGTGGAGCACTTCGAATTCACTCTTACTTTTTGTCTGTGACCTACTAGATTATCCAGCTTCAAGAGCAGTCTATTTGTTGTTGCCTTTTCAAATGTTTTGCTGAAGTCTATGTAGACCACATCCACTGACTTTCCACCGTCTAGAGCCTCTATCCATTACTCCTTTGCTATATGGAGATTTGTTGTGCAAATCAAACCTTTTCTCAAACTATGCTGTCCGCCGTTTAACAAGTTGTTGGCTTCCACGAATGTCATTATGGTCTTCTTAACTATTTTTTCCAGCATCTTAATTACGACACTGGTGAGGCTGACGGATCTGTAATTAAATGGAAGTTGTCTTGGTCCTATTTTATGTATTAGAATGACGATTTCATCCTTCGAACCCGAAGGTAACACACCGTAACAAAGCGACATAATGAATATCACAGTTAGTGGGGCTGCAATATATTGTGCAATTTGTCTCAGGGTTTCAGAGTGTATTTAATCCGGTCCTTTTAACTATTCTGTATCTAAAGTACTATGAGCCTTATGCAAATCGTCTCGATCAAAGTCCATGGTGAACAGACGGTTCGTGAACTTTGTATTTGTGTCCAGTTCTTCTTCTAGAATAGGCTCCTGCGTAAAAAATGACCCGAAATAGTTTGCCATAGCCTCTACTTTTTCGTGATCATCTCCTATCATTTCAGATCCACTCCATTCCTTAATTAGGTTTAGAATCCGATGCTGAATCCTTGTTCTGTAATTTATGTACGAGAATAGTCTCTTAGGCTGCTTGATAACAGATTTGGCTAACCGCTTTTCATGTTACCTTTGAGCAGCTCAGATTGTCATTAACCACTTAACTTTTACCGACCTGTAGCGTTCCATCGTACTTGTTGTTCCAGGGCTAATGGCAATGTTCAACATTCATTTTTTTGCCTTAGTAAACGTCTAATATCCCGTTCTATCTAGGAATGACCGTGTCTCTTCTTCTTTGGGACTGTCTAGGGTATGAATGGTTGAGTTACTCGATTGGAAAACTGCCGGAAATGAGTCCATGCCTCTTTTACTGATGCCCCTGAGTCAATTATCCAGCTTTTAGCCGACGCTGCAGAGTTTATCGCCTCTATGTCCACCTTCCATATGTTAGGACGTGCCGGCGCAACTGTTTGACAGGCCATCTCAAACGTGAACTTGAATAAGATGACTGCATGAACACCTCTCCCTAGAGGTCAGAGGAAATTCATTTTCCAACGTCATCACCATGTGTGAAAACTAAGTTCAAGAGAGAGGAGGAGCCTCGTAAGTCATATCTGGTGGTATCTATAACGTGATGGAATAAAGCTAGAGCAATTGCATGTTCAAGCAATTTGTAGTCAAATGACGTTGAAGACCCTACTTCTTAGTTTCCCCAGTTTATATACTACCACGACCATCATCAAAATAGTACATGTATTTATAATCAATTGTTTAACACAAAATATCCAATATCCGTTGATCGGATATCGTCAGCAACAGTCTGTGGTGGGATAGGAGAAACGAGCTTAAATCCAATGAGGAAACTAGGAAAAGGTGCTGGGATTGGATAGAATACACATTATGTAAATTCTCAATCTGCGTCACGAAACAACCACTTAATTGTAATCCTGAAGGGTGAACGAAAAGGGGAATACCAATGAATGAATTGTGTCGAGAATCGGAAACAGACATCAAAGTAATGATTAGCAACCGGAATCACTTGGAGAAGATTGTTCAGGACAGAGTTGTTTGGAGAATGTTGGTTGGTGGCCCCTGCTACTCCACGAGGAGTAACAGGCGTAAGTTAGTATGTAGGTATGCAATTATCTGTACTCCACTCCCACTTACTGATCGAAAAAAGACTTACTCTTGGATCTAAAGGGGCTGCATCCTTGTAAAAGTACCACAAGCGTGTATCATTGCTGTAAGAGAGCTTGAAACGTGTCACATATTGTGAATTTTTCACATCTCCTCGTGATTTCAAAATAACTCCAGTTATTAATGTTGGTGGACCAACGTCGATCTGAAGCCATTGCAGAGCTGAACATTTTTAAAAGATATGAAAAACAATGTAAAATAAATAGAATTTTGAATGAAAACACTTCCCAACGAATTAAGACAAATTAGTTATAAAATTATTCGAAATTGGCTTCTACAAACTAATAATATAGTTGATATAGTTTGTTAGACAAACAGTAAACGAGAGTCTATAAAGTGATTTTGGTTAGACGTTCTAAGTGCTATGTGATCCTGTTAAAAATTAAAAACATACGAAGAACTACAGACTCATATGGTTCATCAAAATTATAATTTTCAGAATGACATCAAACTACATGAATGATAGTGATTTCAGGTCCAAACCAATAAGCCGTTTATATTTTAACTGATATTCGAATGGTATTACCAGTAGTCAAAATTTAATGTAGATGTAATAAGCGAACACGAAAGATTAAGCAATTTAAAGTTAACTAATGAACACATATATTATTTTCAATATGAGACTGTGGAGAATGTTGAATTTCATTAAAATTCTGACCAGTTAGACCACCATTGAAAACCCGAAGATAATAAACAGTCGTTTCGTTCTAGTATGGGACTCCTCAGCAGTGCGCATTGATAACCTCGCACGCCGAACTCGACCCCAGGACCTTCGACCTAGCGCTAACGCTTGACCTCTAGACTTCTAGTAAGAAACCGTGATTGGTAGAATTCAACCGTGTTGAATTTGAGGCAGTGACTCACTGGAGACAACGAAAGATGGTCGCGCAATATTGCCGATTGATTGAAGTTAGACATAAACATCACTAGATGCTGGCTTAGTGGTCCAAAGGTCAAGAGTTCGTGCGCGACTGCAGGTCCTGGAGTCGAGTCTCGCGTGCACACTTCTAAGAAGTCCCATACTAGAACGAAACAGCCATTTAGTGCTTCCGGGTTTGCAATGAGGGTCTAAAACGTATTGGTTTATGATAACAATGCAGCACATATTGGTAGTACATCAAATTAATAATTTAGAATATATGGATGTTTACACTCAAAACACCAATCTAAGAGTTTTAAAGATTTGGCATTAGTATACAAAATATACACTCCAAGCTGTTAATTTCTTTTTTAATTTAGATATAAGGGAAAATCTTTTATTGTCAGATAAATTTATGTACAGAAATCAGGTACAAGTTTTAGTATTTTGTAAAAAGAAGCCACTTTACTTCAGTTTTACCTATGTAATTCATTCATTGTACCACTTTTAAATAGCTAAATCCGAGTGGACATATGTGAATTAGAATCGAATGGAGCATAGATTATAAAACTATAAATAACTTGTCAATTATCGGTTACAGTTAGTTTCGGGATATTTAGAAATACTTACATGGCAAAATTCATGTACACTTGATTAGTAACACCTTAATTAACTGAACAGAGCTATGAAATAAATCCTAAATCTAACTGCAATACATTTGGTTTTTCTAGCATTTCGTTCACACATAAATGAATATACTGGTTCTGCAACATTCATTAAGACAAATTCCAGTTTTCGGACTTCTCAGTTGTTATATATATTGCTAACGATAGAGAAAAAGACCTACCATAGTATCATCATTATAAACATTAGTTAAGTCTATCATTTTTATCATTAACTATACAGTGTTTTCCACTAAAAAAAGTTTTTTTTTTCTGATTATTAACATAATTGCATTTTGGTTATATTAGAATTTGTAAGCTATTTTAAATGACAAAACATGATGAGTAGTTTCATGTGACCAAACCATTTTCAACATGAAATTTTAAGACATCATTAATTAGTAGGAAGATACCGGATATTAGTTTTCCGAAGTATTGATTATGAAACGTACTTACAAGAATATGATTTGGGAATGGAATGATAACAGTATATTTCTACTATCCTGTAATTTATAAAAGATAGTTTTCCTAATGACGTATGAGAAGGTTATCAGTTTCTCAAATCAAGATAGAATAAAATATATTACCTCACTATTATGATATAAACTTAAAAATTATGTCGTTAGTTCAACGAAGACAAACTTAATATTAATTGCTGACTGAATGAGAGGTGTTTACTTACGATATTGTCGGAATGCATTATAAAATATAGTGACTCAGGTTGGTAACTTTGGGTTTATTTAATTATAAAAATCATAGTTTGTAAGTCGTTCTAAAAAGTGTTTTCAGACTATAAAGGGGATACATTTTCAACTCATAATTCTTTAAAAATTGTAATTAAAAAGTTAAAAACCACCAAACAATATTTATTCAAAGGAAGACAATATTTTATTGCCATAAGCCAATGCTGAGTATCAAATTTTACACTTCACAGTATTCACTGAAGCTCTAAGCATTGATGTTCTCATTCTATCTTCGAAACTATCAGATGCGTCTGAAAAATTAACTCAGATCATTTCATCTTTGGAAAAAAATCTGCTTCCAGGAACTAAGTAAGAATCCACTGATTACTTACACAAAATGTTAAATCATAACTTCATTGAATAATTATTATTTAGTGTAGCGTTAACGAAGTTGAGTAATCGGTGATTTAAATGGATCATTAAAACGAACCTAATCGTATGATATCGATATCAGGTAAAATAGTTTTATATTGTAACAATACATATAGTGTACTAAGTAACTAAAATCACCATTTGGTGTTCTTAACTACTTGATCATCATTATGACATCATCTATTTGTGTCGTACGTAAAATTCAGGGTTGTATTCAACACTAGGACTAAAAAACAAAACAAACAAGTCATGGAATCGTGACTCAAAACACTTATATTTCACCTTTCCAACCTATAAAATTTATTGTGGTAGGACAAAATGAGTTTAATTTATGCCCAGATAATCTAAACAAACGACATTACCTGATAGAAATTTGAAAAAAACTAGCGTAGTTACATTTTTAAGCTTTCAATTACTTAGAAATACGTGCAGTTTCAACTTTACTTCCAAATTTTAGTTTAAAGATCATTAATTCAGTGGAGCACCATAAAGTGTCTATTATTAATATTTGCAAACAATCACTGAATCTTGTAAATGAAACAAAACACTTGGAAAGATATTTAAATCTACTTATTTAATGTGGATAGTGTTATACACTAGTGGAATAATTATCCGTTTCACTCAAACCCACAATGTATATATTCAAATTAAATATTTCAATTAATCGAAGGAAAGCAAGAAATTGGTTTAAATATAAAAGAAATCTTATATCTCTTTCAAAATTTAATTTTAGATTGAAATACATTATTCCCTAGGGAAGCTATAGAATTAATGTGGCCTTATTATAGGGTCGCAAGATCAATTTTTGTTATTAATGGTAAATTCGTTGTTTATTAGTCAACGTGCAAGAGATATTGAAAATGTTTAGTCAACTGTTCTCATGTTATTTAACTTCTTTCAAGTTAATTATAGAAGGGGTTTTGTGGAGATTTAGTATTTATCATTGTTGAAAGCGTGAGTCAAGTTACTTGAAGTTTTCACTTGCCCACGGAATAGTGATCAGTGTCGTGAGTGTTTAGTGTACTAATGCTAATCAAATTTTATCAATCAATTTATGATAGAGGTCACTAGTCTGAGTGATTAAACGTCGTTTACACTAGGTTGAGATTTTATGTGGTTTGGTATAGTTAATAAGAAACCCTGTACCTTGATTACTTGCTGATTGGTGTTTTCTGGAAAGTATACTTGTAAACTTGTGTATAACCCAGTGTCATGTTATGAAACGTTACTATTGAGCAATTCAGACTGACCTTAAGTTTCTCATGAAATTATTTGCTGGACTCGCTGCTATTGACTTATCATCAATATTTATGTTTTAATTTAAACATTATTCCTTTTGTGTGGCTGTTATTAGTAGAATATTTTTATTAGAAGGATACACCCAATGAGGCATAAATTAAAAAGTGGTTCAATAAAGAGAACTGTTTCTGTTATGTACCAATCAGAGTAGTGAATGGTGATTTTGAGATCCATTTATGAACTGATAATATGCATATATTTTTATCGTATAATTGTTAAATAACTAAGCTATTCATATTCATGTCCCTCTTATTATGAGCTTGATTTTGACCCATGAACTATTGTCATACGATTCATCATTCTTGAATTATGCCCTGTTTATCATTTGCTATCTGCCTTATTCACAGCTACATTTGGCTAAATCTTGTACAAATGTTGTTTTCCTATTTTATAGTACGATGTGGTCTGTCTGTTTGGTATATAAACCCGGTATGTTTGAGAATAATAATTCATACCGCAGAGGCTGTTCTGGACTTAACTGGCTGGGATAGACAGAAAGCAGGACTGACTGCTCGCACGGCTTTTATCAGTCATTTGTCCGATCGATAAATCGTTGCTCTCTAATTGGCGGTATTATTCCGTTATACATCAACAAGGTATCCAGGCAACAAGTTATAACAGTTTCCTACCCAGTTTCTTTATTGAGTTCTGTATAGATTATAAGTTTTTCTTCGCAATGATGATCAATGATCTGTTTATTGAAAATAATAATGGTTTATCGAATTTGGCAATGAAAGAGAAATTATACAAAATGAAACAAAATGTTACTCTAACCAGGGTATCAATAGTTCAGTAATGATGGTACTGAATATTTACCAAGAATGTCATAGAATTTATAAAATCGTTATTAAATGTGAACGCTCATTGTGACTAGATATATTTTCAAATTAAAATGAAATGTAGTCGGAAAATGTAAATTGATGGAATTAAACGAACTGAAGATAAAAGGTTTGCTGAATAAATGGTTGTACAAAACTTATGACTATGACTACACCTTTTCGGCCATTTGGATTAATGTTCTTCGATGAACATCAAGCGGCCGTTTTAATTAGATTCAATAAATCTTTATTAACTCACCAATTACTGTGTTTATCTTGATTATAGTTGACTGTGGATTTTAGTGTATTTAAGCAACTTACCCAATTAATAATGATTATTTAAATTTCATAAGCATTCAACATCCTAACAAATACAAGTTCAGTTTTCTTAAGGACAATATTTCGTCGT